GTGAGTTCACACAACCAACAGTTCATACAGGCACGAGTTTATACAACCATAAGCTCACACAGTCACAAGTTTATACAACCATCAGCTCATACAGTCACAAGTTTATACAACCATCAGCTCATACAGTCGTGACTTCATACAACAATCAGTTCATACAGTCGTAATTCATACAGCTATCGGCTCTTACAGTCTTGACTTCATACAACCATCAGCTCATACAGTCCTGACTTCATACAACCATCAGCTCATACAGATGTGACTTCATACAAGCATCAGCTCATACAGTCGTGACTTCATACAACAATCAGTTCATACAGTCGTGACTTCATACAACCATCAGTTCATACAAGCACGAGTTCATACAACCATCAGCTCATACAGATGTGACTTCATACAAGCATCAGCTCATACAGTCGTGACTTCATACAACCATCAGTTCATACAGATGTGACTTCATACAACCATCAGTTCATACAAGCACGAGTTCATACAACCATCAGCTCATACAGATGTGACTTCATACAAGCATCAGCTCATACAGTCGTGACTTCATACAACCATCAGCTCATACAGGCACGAGTTCACTCGTGACTTCATACAACCATCAGCTCATACAGCCGTGACTTCATACAATCATCAGCTCATACAGGCACGCTCAGTTGACACAACCATCAGCTCATACAGTCAGTCATACAGGCACGACTTCATACAACCATCAGCTCATACAGTCGTGACTTCATACAACCCATCAGCTCATACATGTCATGACTTCATACAAGCAAGCTCATACAGTCATTCATACAACCATCACCTCATACAGTCATGACTTCATACAATCATCAGCTCATACAGTCGTGACTTCATACAATCATCAGCTCATACAGTCGTGACTTCATACAACCATCAGCTCATACAGTCGTGACTTCATACAAGAATCAGCTCATACAGTCGTGAGTTCATGGAGGTATGGGAGATATGAGATACAGGAGATGTGATACCTCATAGGTCGTCACTCATGCTGTCAACCACTTGTTTGTCCGAGTTGTTTACGGGCTGCAGTAACACATTCAGCTGGCGGGTTGTGGACTGCGGCATTAAGCAACACACACTCCCATTATTGCCATACGTTACAATCTTCCAGTCAACGATCACCTGGCCACCTCTGATTCCATCTGTACCATGTGTTACAGCAATATTACCCACACCTGAGTTACCTGCCTAACGAAACCAACGACAGATTACACTTCCTCCCTTAAGTAATATTCCATCGATGGCGTTACTTCGGCTCCAGCTAATCGTTTCCTCATGGTCACAGGAGGAAGTTGGGGGTGGGCGGGAGGAACGTACCGTGCGTTACATATAGCGTCCGCCATTAGAAGACTGATGTACATTCCAGGCATACAGGCAGCGGATTGCTGAAGGTTTAAAAGGATTTTCCATGTAACATGACGATTCTCATAAGTCGCACGCAACATAACGGTTCTTACTAAAGAGTCTACTGGTGATGTGAGGTAACCATCCGCAAACAGAGCTATAGACAAGTAAATAGCATGTGCTGGGTAAAGTTACAACACACCTGTACCAAAATACCACAGTAAGTGTGAGTGAGTTTAGTTTTAAGCCGCTTTTAGCAATATTCCAGAATTATCACGGCAGTGGACACTAGAAATGGGCTTCACATATTGTACCCATGTGGAATCGAACTCAGGACTTCGGCGTGACGAGTGAACGCTTTAACCACGAGGCTACCCCGACACCCAAACGCCGTATAGAGAGAATAAAGAAATTGAACACAATAAAGTCAGTGCAAACAAATACCCAATCTTGACTATTTCCAGAACAGATTCCATTCTGTGTAAAGGGCAAAATAGCTGAAAATTCTACGAATGGAATACTGAAATTCAGAGAAGACACCAGCTGTTTGGCAACCGTCCTGTCTACAAATCAATGCCATTCCTTTACAGACAGTTCCAAACTGTCGCAAGAGGCGACTAACGGGATCGGGTGGTCAGGCTCGCTCGCTTGGTTGACACATGTTATCGGTTCCCAATTGCGCAGACCGCCTCCGTGGTGTAGTGGTTAGAGCGTCCGCCCGGAGAGCGGCAGGTCGCGGGTTCGATCCCCGACCGCGTCATACCAAAAGACGTTTAAATATGGTACTTGTTGGTCCCTGCCTGGCGCTCGGCATTAATGGGTACAACAAGGACTGGTCGGCTCGGAGTCAATATAATGTGTCTGAGTGGGGTATTCATGCTTCACTGCGGCATGGTATCTCAGTGGGCTAGCACTATAAAACCAGCTTCAGTCTGGGCTAGTACAAGCAGCCGAACATACACATACACACGCATGCACGTCGTCATATGAGCGAAATATTCTCCAGCACGACGTTAAACCCAATTTCACCTCACCTCACGCATTGTACCTTTCTGGGAATCGAACCTTGGTCTGCTGCGTGACGAGCGAACGATTTACCCTCTAGGCTACCCACACCCCCTGCTACGAATTAATTCAGTGTAAAGAATGCATAGTACACTGACAGAAGTAAATGGTCAGAGTACGGATTTAACCAGAATTTAAACTTAGTTCCACGAAGCTTATTTCTGGCGCTAATCCGACCAAAAGCAAAACGATCAGTATAAGCTCTGTTACAAGTTCTAATCACTGGACGTGCATTGATCATATCCATGAAATATTCTCCCCTCAACAAGCACTTACCTGGTTATAATTCTCAGTAATTGAACCTCTCCCTGAAAATAAAGTTGTGTACAAAGTTTAATACAAAAATCATTATATAAGGACACCGATGAGTATTGACGCACCACGTAGGTCTACCAGATCCTTGAGAATAAATAACAGATGCAGTCCAACTCAAGCCTAGATTGGTCTAGAAAGTTTACCCTGTCTCTGCTCATCCTGAAATGAAGATTTGCTCTCCTTTTGGATTATTATAGTGAGCGAGTGAACTTAGTTTTACGCCGCTTCTAGCAATATACCAGCAATATCATGGCGGGGGACATCAGAAATGGGCTTGGCACATTGTACCCATGTGGGGAATCAAACCCGGGTCTTCGGCGTGACGAGCGAACGCTTTAACCACTAGGCTATCCCACCGCCCCTTGGATTATTAGAGGGGCGGTGGGGTAGCCTAGTGGTTAATGCTTTGAAGGCCCGGGTGCGATTCCATACATGGGTACAATGTGTAAAGCCCATTTCTGGTGTACCCGCTATGATATTGCTTGAAAATTGCTAAAAGCGGCGCAAAACTCATCTCACTCACTTTTGAATTATATTCAGATGTAACCATGTTATATTTCTGGCTCTAAATGACATCCCATCAAGCACTCTCAAGTCTCCTGGCTGAAAATGAACATATATTGCAAGACGGGAATGAGAATAGAAAAGGTGTAAATCCTTTCTTAAAATAAATGCACAGGCGCCTGTAAAAAACATACACATCAGACATCATACACATGTATTGCATAATAATATATATACTGAGAGAAAGAAATAAGGGATTGCATAAAATTTCAGACTTGAGTCATTAATTTCAGTTTAAATGAAGAAAGTCAGTATCGAGTGTGTCCCAAACGTGCTCTCGCAGCTGTCTGGCAACGTCTGGTCATACTTCCAATCGTGTCCTTTTTGTGTGTATATATATATGTCAGACAATATAGATGCGATCCTTTATTTTTTTCCTTCAGTATACATGTTCCGCTACAGGAACGTGACTGTATATAATCTTCTCCCGTCAATGATCATCACGCACTGTATACTCTCTGTCCTCGTTGAACCGGCATGTCTAATACCAACACCGACCTTTAATTCAGGATCCGCAGCCCCACCCTTGCCTTGTAAGGATAGTGAGATTGACTCTATCCGTGCCTTGGAGTGAAAGCTGGGACTATATCGTAAAAGTCATCTGACAACTAGTTGTACATGTTCCAGAGCTAGACATACGTGTCCATATGTTGCACAGTGACTGGTTTTTGGAGCACATTTTAACACTTATTTACTATTTAACGACCGGCGACAGCTTGGCTGCCACTCTGTGTCAAGACCTGATTGTAACATATCATAATGATTAGGCGTAAAGAAATCAATATCTTTACTGCAGTATAGTACTACGAAAACAACTATATATACGTACATGTGGCAAAATATCTCTCTCTCTCTCTCTCTCTCTCTCTCTCTCTCTCTCTCTCTCTCTCTCTCTCTCTCTCTCTCTCTCTCTCTCTCTCTCTCAGGCCTACACTTAGTCTATGAATGTATGTACTTTTTAATATATCTTCATTTAAATTTTGTTATTGTGGTGGGGGATAAAAGTCCATTTAATTAGAATATATCCCCATTTACACTGATGAAAATCTAGACTTACTTCATTTAGGGCTTTGGGGAGATATTAGCTTGGTGAAAGGGAAATACATGTGAGACGGACTATTTCTCTCAATATGAATAAATTGATATTCATATATACACACATAGGCGCACACGTGCAGGTATTGTTTTAATGATGGCGATTTGTTCTGGTTGATGTATATTATTCTTGACCTACATGTATGTGTGGCGAGATACAGAGGTACAGAAGTAAAGAGGTGCAGAGAGATTGTATCTTTATATGACGGGGTTAGGGATACAAAGAACATCGATTGATGTGCAGTTTACTACGCTTATGCGAGGCAAGCCTCAGTTACAATTTACGTTTACTACACTGGGTCGCATTTCTTTGATGATTATAGATTTTGTGAACATGCATCTCTCGTTAATCACGAAATATGGTTCCACTGGCCGTTCGTGGGTTGGATGTGCTTAATGAGTATCGCTAATAAAGAAAGATTTTGATCGCCCACTTGCAGCAATCTGTATTGTTCAATCAAACTGCCACGTCATTAGATTTTATGAGGCTTGTGGATGACGCTCCTCTTGCTGAAGATGCTTGTGTGCTCAACAGGCGGCTGTTCAGGGCTGATCAATATTAGCACGGAGATGGTGAACCTACATGCAGGTCTCTCCTCGCCTAGCTGGACCCTACCAAGCGCGCACACTTATACCAGTGGATCCGCAAATAGTCTCCTCGCTTGGAGCGAGCCTCTCGTTGTGCTGCGCAAACAAACCGTGTACTATTCTGGTCGTCGCCTAATGTATCAGTAGAGACGGGCGCATCCTCGGGGAATCATCTGCCCCTCGGACCTTCATCTCCACCTGGACACGATTTCGTCATCAACGTGAACATCCACCAAGATAGTGTCCATGTAGACCGAGCCGATTCTGACAAGCAATCGAGAGTGTGGCACCTGACTCACGCGCGCCGCTATTGACCTAGCCCATAGATTATCATAAATATTGCACATTGCTATGGTAACCGGGGGCTGAGGCAGCTTGTCAGTGGGCAATGTCATAATGGACGAGACTCGACAACCCGCCATGGAGAACCCAGCACGGCCACACCCGGTGAAAAGGTAGGTGACTGGGTGTTCAGGGTGGTTGGGAGGGTATGCGGGTTCCGCGGGGATGCGAGGAATCTCTGGGAGTAGGGGGATTTGATGAGGCCAGCCCGTCACTACGGAGCCATCCCACCGTGTCTCACTGCCAGCTTAGACCGGCAGTGTTGGAAAGCGAGCGTGTTTACCGTCCCGTATCTACACGTACATTTGTGTATATTGTATATAGTATTTGTTGAGATGACAGTGATGAAGAAGGGAGCCCACCACACCCTTCTGTGGCTGCTGGACTCGTCAGGTGTGGCGGACATCCTTCTCATCAATTTCGTCCCATACGCATGTCGGCCACATTCGCCCAGCCACCCGCGGTTAGCTCCCCTTCATCACACAGCTCGCTACAAAATACCCCGCCTGTATTTGGGGTGCTTTCTCGGCAGATTCCGACAATATTTCGTTACAAGAGGGCGTTGTTTTATTCACCAAACCATTATATATGCCACATATTCAAAGAAGGCGTTGGATCCGGAACCTTCCACCCATTGACAACCATGTACACCATTTCCTGTGCAGAGTGCTATCTCCCTGACACACATCGATGCCAGACCAGGATCACATCACTACATTCCGATCAAACACGATAACACAACACAACACAAACCAACATATGACACAACACAACACAAACCGACATAACACAATACAAACCAACATAACACAACGTACAAAGATACCATTTCAATGGAATCCGACCCAACACACACTGCTGCTTAGGAATGTGTACAATACAACCAGTGTAAGAAATACCTCAAATCTACATCTGACTAGACAGACCTCTAGCGCCCTGATAGAACCATTCCGGATCACAGTCCGCTAGACACACTGATGGCGACGCCTTGTCTAGATCATCAGTATATCCTCCCCCTTGGGGAATTTGGGTTCCAGTATTTGACCCAAGCAAACTCTAGTCGTAAGCGGGGATTGAATGGATCGAATGGTCAGGCTCGATGACTTGAGTGAGCGAGTTTAGTTTTACGCCGCTTTTAGCAATATTCCAGCAAAATCACGGCAGGGTACAACAGAAATGGGCTTCACATATTGCACGTCTTCGGGTCTTCGGCGTAACGTCCTAACGCTTTGACCACTAGGCTACCCCACCGCCATCTCGATGACGTGAAATAGTACCTGTAAATACACCACTATGTATCGTTGTTCATTTTATTAATCACCTGGTTGTCTAGTCCAGACTCGGTTATTTACAGACCGCCGTCCATTACCGTCGTTGTTGAACAACAAACAAAAATACTATCTTTAGATGAAATACAGCGCTTATAGCTGGGCGTATGCTACCAGACGGTCGGTGTAGACGATTTGAGAGATTAGTTGTGTAAGCTATTGCTGGTCACGTACAGGCGTCACTTTAACGCTGAGAACAGCACTGTGTACAAACCATCGGCATGTAGTGATGGCTCAAGTACAAACAAGACCACTCACTCCATTATGTAAGAGTGAATACACACTGATCAGCCTCAGAAATCAGTACTCCCAATGACTGACTGACTGACTGACTGAGTTTGGTTTTACGCCGCTTTTAGCAATATTCAAACAACATCACGGCGGTGGACACCAGAAATGGGCTTCACACATTGTACCCATGTGGGGATTCGAACCCGGGTTTTCGGCATGACGAGCCAACGCTTTAACCACTAGGCTACCCCACCGCCCCTACTCCCAATGAAACTAAATACATTCACGTTTCAGTACTACGAGACAGTATTTACAGTACTACACGAAAATATATATCATAACTCAATTTCTACAAGGCGACAGTATACACAATACATCATAACTGTGAATACAATAGAAAACGAATGCATGCACTATAAAACACAGCAGTGCATGAAATACTACACGTCAGTATATATATTACGAGACAACACTATACAACAGAACAGGACAGCTTCCCTTCTCCTCAAACAAATTAAAAACAAAACAAAACAAAACCAAAAAGCAACAAAACAATACAACCAGATATAAAAAATATACCCCCCCCAAAAAAAAAAAAAAAAAATTATTTTTTTTAAAAACCTAGTTAAGGTCGAGATGGATAATATGTAAGCCTGAAAAAATCGCATCACATGGAATACAATAAAATAGCACTCAAAAAACACACCGATTCATTAAATCACACGTGTTACACATATGACACAAAGAAGCCAAAGAACAAAAACGATCCAATGCGACACTTGGGCAACCCGAGAGAAAAGCGCAGTACAACGGGCCGCTGTGTATAGTACAACACTGCATCCGCAATAATACCCGGCTAGATATCGTCAATTGTGAAATCCTTTGTGGTATCGAATAAACAAAGATAACCCCGACAACAACATGAAACTGAGAGCATGCAGCATGTACGAATGTGACCATATTTTTAGTTATAAATGTTTGATGAGGCTTCGATACGTTTCAATAAGCGGCGTCTTGAAGCATATCGATCTTTGAAGTAGGTAACGCAATAAATGTCAAACAGTAGAGGGTCAATTACTGATGCTACGTGCAGCCAGCCTTGTGTCGAGTTGAGAGACAGGTGCAATATTGATGTAACATGACCGTAATAAGCGATGCATTAGATGCAGAGTTCAGAGACAGGTGCACTATTGACGTAACCATTGATAGCGGTTAATAATATCTAGAGTTGACAGTCAGGTGCACTTATGGTGTTAAACTGCATATATCAGGAGAAAAGATGACAGTCAGGTGCACTAATTGTGTTAATAACCGGCGTTTATCGAGAGTAAAGACTGACTGACTGAGTTTGGATTTACACCGCTTTTAGCAATATTCCAGCAACATCACGGCGGGGGACACCAGAAATGGGCTTCACACATTGTACCCATGTGGGGATTCGAACCCGGGTCTTCGGCGTGACGAGCCAACGCTTTAACCACTAGGCTACCCCACCGCCCCCAAGAGTAAAGATGACAGACAGGTGCACTAATTGTGTTAATAACCGGCGTTTATCAACAGTAAAGATGACAGACAGGTGCACTAATTATGTTAATAACCGGCGTTTATCAAGAGTAAAGATGACAGACAGGTGCAGTAATTATGTTAATAACCGGCGTTTATCAAGAGTAAAGATGACAGACAGGTGCAGTAATTATGTTAATAACCGGCGTTTATCAAGAGTAAAGATGACAGACAGGTGCACTAATTATGTTAATAACCGGCGTTTATCAAGAGTAAAGATGACAGACAGGTGCAGTAATTATGTTAATAACCGGCGTTTATCAAGAGTAAAGATGACAGACAGGTGCACTAATGGTTTTAAAGTGGATTATATCAAGAGTAGAGATGACAGACAAGTGCACTAAGGGTGTTAAAATGACATTTATTAACAGTAAAGATGACAGACAGGTGCACTAATTGTGTTAAACTGGAGTTTATCAAGAGTAGAGGTGAAAGACAAGGGCATTAATGGTGTTAAACTGGCTTTTATCAAAAACTGTGCACTATTGATGTAACCAGTTGTGAGGTCGATAAGCAAGTCCATAAAAACTAAACCATTTGATCATGTTTCAAGAAATACTTAAAGTTTACATTTTGTTCCGACACAGGCTGGATAGCAAGGAGAACCCGTTTCTACCCGGTGGGAATCTCAGCAAGGAAACCGACGACCTTTTGAAGCGCGCAACCATCATCCGAGACCAGTTCCTACTGGACGACGAGGCGAGACTTCTCGCCCAACAGGCTGCAGCGAAGGAGGACGCCACGCCGGTTCATGAGGAACACACGACGCCGGTTCATACAAGTCCTGTGGCCAAACCCAAGGAGAACGGTCAGTCGGGCGAGCCAGCCTCCCCTGGCTCAGTGCATGTGGACATGAACAAGGACACCCAAGCCTCACCAGGCTCGCCACAAACTCGCAATGCCGTGCAAAAGGACAAGAAAAAGGGTAATAAATGCTGTACCGTGATGTAGCACCCGCATTCATCCATGTATCGTGATGGTAGTCTATATAAGCCGCCTGGACTGCACTGACAGACGAACGGACGAAGATATGGAGGGCCCGAGCTTCCATTTCTACCCTATGGACCTCCGCTATTTTGTGTGCTCGGCTTAACTGACTCTGTGGTGGGTGGATCGCCGCTCGCAACCACGTCCGTAGGAAAGACCGACTGACCATTTCTAACACGGCATGACCACGGTGGATGATCGTGGTCGAGCCACATGCATGTATTTATCTCATGTGCATCTGTCATTTGTGTGTAACCTTACTCGGGACGCGCATTGTTTTGTTATCTTCTTGTGTACTGACTACCACAGGCGTGTGTGTCCTTGTGACGTCAGGACTCGCCACTGTCTGTACGCCCTGGCTGACTCAGTGTAGGCTCGAACCCGAAGAAGACGAAGATGTCTGGTCCAGGAAGTTTGGTAACATCGTGTAGAGACGCCCAGTGTGTAGATCTGAGAACCAGATATGTAGGTACCTATAAACAGATGGGATCCAGGTGTGTAGGTCAAGACAGCCAGGTGTGATTCAGGTTTGTAGGTCAAGACAATCAGGTGTGATCCAGAAATGTAGACAAGGAGGGCGTGGCGTGTACAGAGAGCGGCCGATCGCTGTCACACACACATGGCCTGAGAAATCCTGATCATTATACATAATAATTTATTATTTAACAGCGTCTTGTAAGACGTGCATTTTAGTGCAAACATTGTTGATGGCATTTGCAAAAAATAAGGACTGTCGTGATATGAGTACAATGTGACATGCTGAGGACCATTCAGAACCATCATGCCTCTCCCGGTGTGGCAGTCACGTGATCAGGAATACAACCAGTACAAGGTTTTGAACGGGTGACATCTGTCGTGCACCTGTGCCGGGTACTAGCCACAAGTCACTGGAGGACATAATATTGAGGCTTTTTATATATTATCTTCAAAGGGTTGGGTTTGAAGAGGGTTTGGGTGGGTACGCTTGTAGAATTGAAAAATGCTTTTACGATTTGTTTTGTATTATTTATTTTTAGAATTAAACAGCAATTAAGTCATCTTCAGATTTATTTGCATAAAGAGTTTGACTGATATTATGTTTTTGTTTTCAATATACATGTATGTCAATATGGCTTACATTTGTGGGCGTATTTTTCCGTGACACATCTGGCCAATGTCAACCTCCGTGCATCAGGTGTACAACACGAGTATAGGCCCTGAACACTGGGAAGGTCAACACGTGTATACGACCTGTACACTGGAATGGTCAACACAAGTATAGGACTTGTACACTGGGGTGGCCAATACGAGTTTAGGAACTGTACACTGGGGTGGTCAACACGAGTATAGGACCTGAACACTCGGAAGGTCAACACGTGTATACGACCTGTACACTGGAATGGTCAACACAAGTATAGGACTTGAACACTGGGGTGGCCAATACGAGTTTAGGACCTGTACACTGGGATGGTCAACACGAGTATAGGACCTGTACATTGGGATGGTCAGCACGAGTTTAGGACCTGTACACTGGGGTGGTCAACACGAGTATAGGACCTGTACACTGGGGTGTTCAACACAAGTATAGGACCTGTACACTGGGGTGTTCAACACAAGTATAGGACCTGTACACTGGGGTGGTCAACACGAGTATAGGACCTGTACACTGGGGTGGTCAACACGAGTATAGGACCAGTACACTGGGGTGGTCAACACGAGTATAGGACCTGTACACTGGGGTGTTCAATACGAGTCATGTACACTTGGAGTCATAGGGACCAGTACACCTGGGTGGTCAACACGAGTATAGGACCAGTACACTTGGGTGGTCAACACAAGTATAGGACCCGTACACTGGGGTGGGGTCAATACGAGTATAGGACCTGTACACTGTGGTGGTCAACATGAGTATAGGACCTGTACATCGAGGATGTCAACACAGGTAGAGGACCTGTACACTGGGGTGGTCAACACAAGTATAGGACCTGTACACAGGGGTGGTCATCACGAGTATAGGACCTGTACACTGGGGTGGTCAACACGAGTATAGGACCTGTACACTGGGGTGGTCAACACAAGTATAGGACCTGTACACTGGGGTGGTCAACACGAGTATAGGACCTGTACACTGGGGTGGTCAACACGAGTATAGGACCTGTACACTGGGGTGGTCAACACAGGTATAGGACCTGTACACTGGGGGTGGTCAACACCTGTAGGTCAACATGAGATAGGACCTGTACACTGGGGTGGTCAAAACGCACACTGGGGTGTATATAGGACCTGTACACTGGGGGGGTCAACACAAGTATAGGACCTGTACACTGGGGTGGTCAACACAAGTATAGGACCTGTACACTGGGGTGGTCAACACGAGTATAGGACCTGTACACTGGGGTGGTCAACACGAGTATAGGACCTGTACACTGGGGTGGTCAACACAAGTATAGGACCTGTACACTGGGGTGGTCAATACGAGTATAGGACCTGTACACTGGGGTGGTCAACACGAGAGTATAGGACCTGTACACTGGGGTGGTCAACACGAGTATAGGACCTGTACACCGGGGTGGTCAACACGAGTATAGGACCTGTACACTGGGGTGGTCAACACGAGAATAGGACCTGTACACTGGGATGGTCAACACGAGTATAGGACCTGTACACTGGGGTGGTCAATACGAGTATAGGACCTGTACACTGGGATGGTCAACACGAGTATAGGACCTGTACACTGGGGTGGTCAACACGAGTATAGGACCTGTACACTGGGTGGTCAACACGTGTATAGGGGGGGTGGTCAACACGAGTATAGGACCTGTACACTGGGGTGGTCAACACAGAGTATAGGACCTGTACACTTGGGGTGGTCAACACGAGTATAGGACCTGTACACTGGGGTGGTCAACACAAGTATAGGACCTGTACACTGGGGTGGTCAACACGAGTATAGGACCTGTACACTGGTGTGGTCAACACGAGAGTATAGGACCTGTATACACTGGGGTGGTCAGCACGAGTATAGACCTGTACACTGAATTGTGGTCAGCACGAGTATAGGACCTGTACACTAGGGTGGTCAACACACGAGAGGTATAGGATCTGGGCTGATACACTGCGGACGGTCTGCATGAGATTAGGACCTGTACACTTAGGTGGGATCAACACGAGCATAGGACCTGTACACTGGGGTGGTCAAGCACGAGTTATAGGGACCTTGTACACTGGGGTGGTCAACACGAGTATAGGACCTGTACACTGGGGTGGTCAACACGAGTATAGGACCTGTACACTGGGCTGGTCAACACGAGTATAGGACCTGTACACTGGGGTGGTCAACACGAGTATAGGACCTGTACACTGGGGTGGTCAACACGAGTATAGGACCTGTACACTGGGGTGGTCAACACAGTATAGGACCTGTACACTGGGGTGGTCAACACAAGTATAGGACCTGTACACTGGGGTGGTCAACACGAGTATAGGACCTGTACACTGGGAGTGGTCAACACACGAGTATAGGACCTGTACACTGGGGTGGTCAACACGAGTATAGGACCTGTACACTGGGCTGGTCAACACAAGTCAACACGAGTATAGGACCTGTACATTGGGTGGTCAACACGGAGTATATAGGACCTGTACACTTGGGTGGTCAATCACACTATGGGACCTGTACATTCAACACAAGAGTATAGGACCTGTACACTGGGCTGGGGTCAACACGAGTATAGGACCTGTACACTGTGGGTGAGTCAACACAAGTATAGGACCTGTACATCGAGGATGTCAACACACAGGTATAGGACCTGTACACTGGGGTGGTCAACACAAGTATAGGACCTGTACACAGGGGTGGTCATCACGAGCATAGGACCTGTACACTGGGGTGGTCAACACGAGTATAGGACCTCCACACTGGGGTAGTCAACACACGTAAAGGACCTGTACACTGGGGTGGTCAACACGAGTATAGGACCTGTACACTGGGGTGGTCAACACGAGTATAGGACCTGTACACTGGGGGTTGCCAACACAGGTATAGGATCTGTACACTGGGGAGGTCAACACGAGTATAGGACATGTATACTGGGGTGGTCAACATGAATAGGACCTGTACACTTGGGTGGTCAAAACGCGTATAGGACCTGTACACTGGGGTGGTCAACACGAGTAAAGGAACTGTACACTGGGGTGGTCAACACAAGAATAGGACCTGTACACTGGGGGTGGTCAACATGAGTATAGGACCTGTACACTGGGGTGGTCAACATGAGTATAGGCCCTTTACACTGGGGTGGTCAACACGAGTGTAGGAACTGTACACTGGGGTGGTCAACACGAGTATAGGACCTGTTCACTAAGGTGGTCAACACAAGTATAGGACCTGTACACTGGGGTGGTCAACACGAGTATAGGACCTGTTCACTGGGATGGTCAACACGAGTATAGGACCTGTACACTGGGGTGGTCAACACGAGTGTAGGAACTGTACACTGGGGTGGTCAACACGAGTATAGGACATGTACACTGGGGTGGTAAACACGAGTATAGGACATATACATTAGGGTGGTCAACATGAGTATAGGACCTGTACACTGGGGTGGTCAACACAAGTATAGGAACTGTACACTTGGGTGGTCAACATAAGTATAGGACCTGTACACTAGGGACGGTCAACACGAGTATAGGACCTGCACACTGGGATGGTCAACACGAGTATAGGACCTGCACAATGGGGTAGTCAACACGTGTAAAGGACCTGTACACTTGGCCGGTCAACACGAGTATAAGACTTGCACACTGGGATGGTCAACACGAGTATCGGACCTGTACACTGGGGGTGGTCAACACGTGTAAAGGACCTGTACACTGGGGTGGCCAACATGAGTATAGGACCTGTACACTGTGGTGGTCAACACAAGTATAGGACCTGTACATTGGGGTGGTCAACATGAGTATAGGACCTGTATACTAGGGGTGGTCAACACGAGTATAGGACCTGTATACTAGGGGTGGTCAACACGAGTATAGGACCTGTATATTGGGGTGGTCAGTACGAGTGTAGGTCCTGTACACTGGGGTGGTCAACATGAATAAAAGGCATGTACAGTAGGGGTTGTCAACATGAGTATAGGACCTGTATACTGGGGGTGGTCAACACGAGTATAGGACCTGTACACTGGGGTGGTGAACACGAGTATAGGACCTGTACACTGGGGTGGTCAACACAAGTATCGGACCTGTACACTGGGGTGGTCAACACGAGTATAGGACCTGTACACTTGGGTGGTCAACACGAGTATAGGACCTGTACACTGGGGTGGTGAACACGAGTATAGGACCTGTACACTGGGGTGGTCAACACAGGTATCGGACCTGTACACTGGGGATGGTCAACACGAGTATAGGACCTGTACACTGGGGTGGTGAACACAGGTATAGGACCTGTACACTGGGGTGGTCAACACGAGTAATGGACCTGTACAGTGAGGTGTTCAATAGGAACAGAGAGAAAGATACACCTGACCTAGAAAGAAGACACACAGCGTAGAGGAGAAACGTGGACATAAGTTAAAACCTCATCATGAATAGGCTGACGGGGCTTTATACACTAAATAATTTATCACATGTGATCGCTGTGTTTAACCAACGAGTCAAGCGACTGTTTGGTTCCAGTCAGAGAAAAAACAGCAATTACCCAGATCATTGAGCTCTGGGATAAGATCTCCAACCACAAACGGTTAGGTTTCCCCGTGCAACAAACATGTGCCCCGCCACCTACTCCACACACTGCGTGTATATAAAGCAATGGTAGGGTTCGCACAAAATACAAGCAGGGAGTTTGCTCGGCTTTCGTGAGTTATGTACACAGGCTCATTTCTCTCGGGCTAAAAACAAAACTTGCATCTCTAACGAGGTACATAGGTGAGTTGTGTTTACAAACCCGTGAATTGACGATTTGGTTTGAGAAACACTGCGCAGTAAAGTTAAAAGTTTGAAACAGGTGCGGTCTAGTAGGTAATGGTGCATTAGCAGATGATACAAGCAGTGACCCAGTACAACACTATGGGATTCCAGGTCAGAATACT